GACAGACAAGTTTGTCTTGCTGTTGGAGACCTCTTGTATCACCCCCAACTGGGTCCCTTTGGCTGACTGTACCTCTGTCTGGCTTCCTGGCTTTTAATCCCTGTTTAATGGTTGTTGTTGTTAGGTGCCATCAAGTTGATTTTGACTCATAGTGACCCTATGTGCAACAAAACAAAACACTGCCTGGTCCTGTGCTGTCCTCACAATTGTTGCTCTGCTTGAGTCCATTGTTGAAGACACTGTAAATCCATCTCATTGAGGGTCTTCATCTTTTTTGCTGACCTTTTAATTTACCAAGCATGATATCCTTCTCCAGGGACTAGTCCCTTCTGACAACATGACCAAAGTAGGTGAGATGAAGTCTGGCCATTTTTGCTTCTAAGAAGCATCCCACCTGCACTTCTTCCAGTACAGATTTTGGTAGTTCTTCTGGCAGTCCATGGTATTTTCAGTATTCTTCACCAACACTACAATTCAAATGCATCAATAATTCTTCATTCCTTTTTATTCTTTGTCCAGCTTTCACATGCACATGAAGCGATTGAAAATACCATGGCTTGGGATAGGCCCACCTCAGTCCTCAAAGTGGCATCTTTGCTCTTTAACACTTTAAAGAAACTTTTCCAAAGCAACTGCACCATTTTATGCTGGTGGCTTAGTGCCTAAGGCATTTGACTGTTAACCAGAAGGCTGGCAGTTCAAACCCACCAGCCACTCCTTGGAAGGAAGGTTGGGCAATCTACTTCCGTAGTGGTACTGCCTCAGAAACTGAAGGAGGGGTCTCAATAAGTTGGATTCGACTTGACTGCAGTGTGTTGCATTGCGTTGTTTACCAGCAGTGTGTGTGTGAGGGTTCCACTTTATCCATATCCTCATCAACACTTGCTATTATCTTTTTTATTCTAACCATAATGTAAGGTGTGAAGTGGTATCTTACTGTGATTTTGAGTTGCATTTTCTTAATGATTAATGATGTTTAGCCTCTTTTCATGTGCTTTGTCTTAGTATCTTATATTTCTGCCATAACAGAAATGCCACAAATCAGTGGCTTTAATGAACAGAAATTTATTTTCCCTTATTTTAGGAGGCTAGAAGTATGAATTACAGGAAGGCTTTTTCCCTCTGTGGACTCTGAAGGAAGATTCTTGTCTCTTTTCAGCTTCTGCTCCTTGATCTCTTGGCAATCTTTATGTGGTGTAGCATCTGTCTTCCCCCATCTGTCCTTCCTGCTCTGTGTTCCTCATCTACTCTTTCTGTATCTCAAATGCGATTGTACCCTACATTGACAATGAGCTTGTTAACGTAACAAAGAAACTCCTATTCCCAGATGGTATTATATATATCCACAGGTACAGGGATTAGTATTTACAGCACATTTGAGGCAAGGGGGGTATGTGTGCACAATTCAATACATAACATGTTTATTGGCCATTTGTGTATCTCATCGTTATTTTCATCTCACTGCCTTAAAGAAATGTCTCTTCAAATTATTTGCCCATTTTGAATTTTTTTTTTTTAACTTCTCTGGTGGAAAAGCATGAAGTTTCAATTTTGATGAAGCCAGTTCATCTGTTTGTTTTTTTTTGTCACTGTACTTCTCGTGTCATAGCTAAGTTCATCTAACCCATAGCCAGGAACATTTACCCCTATGTTTTCTTTTGAGAGGCTTCGTTTTAACTTACATTTTGATACATTTTAAGTTATTTTTGTTGATGATGTCAGGAAGAGGATCCAACTTCATTGTTTTTGCATGTGGATATCCACCCCTGTTCCATTCCCATTTAGTAATAATTTTTGGTTTGTATGTATTTTCTTATTTCATATAAGTGAGATCATATGGCTTTTTATTTGTTTGTTATTTTGCAACTGACTTTTTTCTTTCAATTTAGTGTTTTCAAGGTTTATCCATGTTGTACCATGTAGAAGGACTTCATTTCTCTTTATGGTTGAGTAATATTGCATTATTAGTAGGTATCACATTTTGTTTATCCATTCATTTGTTGATGGACATTTCTGTTTTCATCTTTTGGCTGTTTTGAAAAGAGCGTTGGTGTATAAGCTTCTGTTTGTTTTCCTGCCTTTGCTTCTTTGTTTATATCTAGGATTGGAATTGCTGGGTCATACGGTAGTTTTGTATTCAACTTTTTTAAGGAATGCTAAACTTTTCCACAGTGGCTGTGCAGTTTTACATTCTCACCACCAATGGATGAAGATTCCTGTTTCTCTACAACTTCTTCCATACTTGTTGTTTTCCTTGTGTTGTTTTTAATCAATCATTGCCATTCTAATGGAAGTGAAATGATATGTCATTGTAATTTTGATTTGCATCTTCCTAACGGTTAATGCAGGAGCTCTGGTGGCGTAATATTTGACTGCTAACCAGAAGGCTGGCAGTTCAAACCCACCAGCCACTCCTCGGGAGGAAGATTGGACAATCTCCTTCTGTAGTGATACCACCTCGGAAACCCAAGGAGGGGTCACTATGAGTCGGATCCAACTCGACAGAGTGAATTTGCTTTTTTTTTTTAATGGTTAGTGAAGACAGTCTGGTGGCGCAGTGGTTAAAGCATTTGGCTGCTAAGCAGAAGATTGGCAGTTCAAACCCACCAACTGTTATGTGGGAGAAAGATTGAGGCTGTCTGCTTCCATCAAGATTTACAGCCTTGGAAACCCTGTACGCAGTTCTATTCTGTCCTTTAGGGTCTCTATGAGTTACAGTAGACTTGATGGCAGTGGGTAATGTTTAATGACATATATCATCTTTTCATATGCTTTTTGGCCATTTGAATTATCTTCTTTACTGAAATGTCCTTTGATGAATAATTAATAATATAATAATCATTTTTATGAGGTCCCATTTACCTTTGTCTTTTGCTACTCATGCTTTAATAGTCATATCTGATAGCCTGTTGCTAAAAACTAGGTCCCATAGCTTTGCCCCTACTTTTTCTCCTAAGAATTTTATACTTTCAGTTTTCTCACTTAAATCCTTGATCCATGAGGGCTCTCTGTTCTTAATAATTTTTTTAAGAACATGTTCCAAGAGGTGGGGGGGAAAAATGAGAAGCATACCTGCATTGGGGTCAATCAGTGAACAGAGATGTATTTGGTGCCTGCTTTTTGCCAGGTACTTTTCTAGATTCTAGGGATATAAGACAGATGAATGAAATCTGTAACCTCAATAATCTTGAAAGCGCTTTGTTCCTTCATTTTATTTCTCCAAATACCAGTCAAGACTGTGGATGTTATAGTCTAGTTAACTCTAGAATGAGTTGATCTCACTCTTTTTTCTGATACAGAATCTCAGGGTCTTTAACTGAGCTGCTGCTGATGCTGAAGGCAGTATGAAACTATAAGGAGAATATAGGCTTTAACTTATGACTCTAGCACTTCTTAACTCTGTGGCTTCTCAGAGTCCCACTTTTATCATCTGTATAAATGGAGACTGATGCTTTCTGCAGAGGATGGTGGTAATTAAATAGTATCAAACATGTGAAAGTACCTCATATAGTATCTGGTTCGTAGTCAGATTTTAACTTGATTTTCTGCATACTTTTGTAACTCCGAATGTTTCTGATTTCACTACGGGTACTTTGCTTGTATACCCTCTTGCCCCTCAGGTTCTTTCCTTTAGGAAACTCTGTACTCCCCAGATTTCTCTCTTTTTAGAATTAATCCTGTGCCTTTGGTTTCTGTGTTCTTCTATTAAGCAACTCTGGAATTCCCCTTTGTTCTTCTGATAATGATCATGAACTCTAGCCTTTTCTTTTCCTGGGTGTGCTGGTAACCTTTAGTTCTGCTAGAATCTTTGATTATTTTATACTAAGCTGGGAATTGTATTGATGACTTAAGTCCTTTTGTGTTGAATTTTTGTTTTTAAACAGGAAATTAGAAATATCTTCTGGAAAACTGGCAAGATTTGCAGATGGCTCTGCTGTAGTACAGGTAAAATGTCTGGGTTTTATAAATTTCATCTTAGAAATGGTTGCAGAAACTGGTACTGCATATCTTTATAACATCATAAAATTTCTTAGAATTGTGGTACTTGGAATTAATTCAAATACTGCTAAGATCATTTTTAGTGTCAGAACTATTCCAGATAAACAGGAAGTCAGAAGGCTGGTTATATTAAATGACCATTAAGATTCCTTTCAAACTTAGGGTTCTGTTATATTCTGTTAATACATTCTCTTATGCTTTTCTAGAGAAAATGATATTACTATTTTCTTCAGTAGTGGTACTTGGGAAATTTTTCTTTATTTACAACCTAAAAATCCTCATTAGAAGTAGAAGATAAGATTTGATTTATTAGATGTGGCTAAGCCATTGATGAACCTATTCCCTTTTTGGTTCCGTTGCTTTTATAAAGCCCAGTGACTATCCTAATACTGATTGTGTTTATGAATAAGGATCAAAATTGGACCAGTTGTGAATAATTATTGTTATAGCAATATCCTCCTTGAGATTATTTAAAGGAAGGATTACTTATATGCTAATATCGCTGACTTTAAAGAATTTACCAATGTTGCTGTTGTTTTGTTTTAACTAAGTCAGGTGACACAGCAGTGATGGTCACAGCAGTCAGTAAAACAAAACCTTCACCCTCCCAGTTCATGCCCTTGGTGGTAAGTATTTGCTGATTTATCTGAACTATAATATAGCATAAATGTAGAATTTTGAATATTTTTGTCCAATATCTAATGAGTACAAAATATGAACATTATATAACAAAGAACTTTTAGTTGTTTGATTCATTGAAATGTCTGAGTCATTAAAAGGATATAAACTGCTTGCTTCCCATCAATTCTCATACTAGTAGTAAGTATACTTTAGAATGTCCAGATGTGTATCTTCATTGCTTTCATAGATTTCTCTCCAGTATAAGTCTGTTGTTGTTATTAGCTGCCATTGAGTGGATTCTAACTGATGGTGACTCCGTTTGTGCAGAGTAGAACTGCTCTGTAGGGTTTTCAAGGCTGTAACTTTTTGAAAGCATATTGCCAGGCCTGTCTTCCAAGGAACCTCTGGGTAGAACTGCCAGCCCTTATATCACCAGTGACTCCTAATGGGTCTTTATACATTTAGTGAAGAGTAAGTTCCTTAGGATTTTATGACTTTTTTCTTCTATTAAAAAGGGGAATGCAGTTATGTTACAGTTATATTACAAAAATGGCAATATTTGACTTGACCAGGGTGAGCTACTATGGGAAGCTATGAGGGTAGGTAGTCTGACTGCTAGGAAGGAGGTTGGATTTTGTGATATTCATAATTCAGTCTTACAGTTAACATATACCTTTTTTTAATTAACTGATTTGCTGAAACTTTTTTTTTTCTCATCCCCCCAAGAAATACAACAAGGTAAAAGTAAATGAAACATTCTCTATTCTTAGTATGGAATATGTTAAAGCAACTTTAAGAAAATTAGTATTTGTCTAGTAGTTCTTGACTCGACGGCAAAACAACAACAACAACAAAAGTAGTTCTTGAAGTACAGTTTGTTACTACAGAAGGGAATCATATGAACTTTATTTTTTCATTGCTACTCTAGGTTGACTATAGACAGAAAGCTGCTGCAGCAGGTAGAATTCCCACAAACTATCTTAGAAGAGAGATTGGTTCTTCTGATAAAGAAATTCTTACAAGTCGAATAATAGGTAAGAAGAAAATAGAAGCATTCACCACGTCTGATTCAGTGTTAGCATCTCTTCTCTTCCATTTGTGTTCTATATTATCTCTTAAATTGCCCTTCATTGTATTAATACCACCTAAGATTATTTACTTTGTATGTCCCCTCACTCAAACTGAAACCTGTGAGTATATGCACTTTTCTTTGTTCACTACTGAATCCCTTGTACCTGGCATACTACCTAGCATAGAATAGACATTCAATAAATATTTATTGACTTAATGAATAATTCTATTAAGCATAAAAATTCTGTGCCCCATACCTCTATTCTGTTGAATCTCTACCAGTTTTTTTCCATTTTCATAGCCAGCATAGTAATTCCTAAAAGCATTATGTTTGTCAGCTACTGAAATATATCCATAAGGCCTCAAATCTTTGACATCTCTAAATATTATGGAATTATTTATCATTTAAATTTGTGAGTTGAACTGATTTGGGCAAAAAATTATCTTGTAATCTAGTGGTGATAGCCTTAGAAATTACTAGTTTGTGTATACTTATACACATTCATAAAAAACTGTGGTGGCATAGTGAGTAAGGCATTTGGCTACTGACCAGAAGGTTGGTGGTTTAAAACCTACTAGCTACTCCACAGGAGGAAGATGAGGCATCTGCTTCTATAAAGGTTTACAGCCTTGAAAACCCAATGGGGGTCACTATGAGTCAAAATCAGTTCAATGGCAGTAGGCTATACACACTCATCAGACACAAACTAGCATGGAAGAATTTTCTTTTGGTCTGCTGTTGGTCTTAACTCTCTTTCATCTGCTTATGTATGTAACTGATGCCTCTAGAACCAAAACAAAAAGCTGCTCCTCAGTCTTTAGTAATTTTTTGTTGTTAAGGCATGGTGAGTATTAATTGAAACATTGACATTTATTTATTGTCTCTCTCAATAAGTTGGTCCATTTTGTGTGTGTGTGTGTGTGTGTGTGTTTATTTATTTATATATAGGACAGCTCAGTATATAATTTTTTAACCAGGCTTTTAATGGCAGAAAAGCGTTGAAATGTAAAGCAACTCCTGACAGTGCTATGTAATAATCTTTTTTTTTTCTTTTGGGCAGATCGTTCAATTAGACCTCTCTTTCCAGCTGGCTACTTTTATGATACACAGGTAGGTTCTGATTTAAGTTTATTTGGTTCCAGCTTCAACAAAAGTTGCTTGTTGGTCTCTATAATACCTCCTATGCTAACCATCATAAAGAATATAATATAGAAATTCTTGATGATGCTGTTGCATTTCATATTAAAGTTTTTATTCTTTTAAAAAAAGAATGATAATAATAATATTAAAAAGCTAAAAGTAATTCATCATCACTTTACGCTGATCCCTGAATTATGAGTAGGAATCAGCTAGTCAGAGAATGGGGGCAAGAATTCCAGGCAGAGGAAATGGCAACTGGGAAGGCCTTGAGGCAGAAAACAAATTGGTGAGTATGAAAGATCAATGTAATTGAGGTGGGGACCAGACCAGGCTGGGCCATGTAGTCATATTATTATCAGAGACTACAACAATCAGCACAACTAATCTTTATTACTGGATCTTGTAAACCTCTACTTGACTATGTTTTAGTATCTTCTAAATATTATTTTCTTTTACTATAATGACCCATATACATTATTCAAATAACCATATTACTTATTTGACACAAATGAATTTGTCCTTGCTCCCTTTCCCTCTTAGTGACATCTTTGCAAGGATGTCACAGCCTCAAGGAAGTTATTTTCTTAAGTACATGATTTAGCGACATCATTACAGTAATAAAGTAATACATTATTTTGTTTCACCTGGGTTTATAAACAGAAGACAACAATATTCCTACATAATAGAAATAGCTAATATTTACTGAGTACTTGCACTTGTGCTCAGTGCTTTACATACAGTATTTTATGTAATCCTTACAGGAACTCAGGGAAGATACAGTTATTTTTCCCTTTTAAATACGAGGAAATTCAGACTTAATTACTTTGCCCAAGGTCAAGCATTTTGCTAAATCATGCCAAGATTAAGGCGTTTGACTACAAAGCCCATGGTTTTAACCATGTAAAGCCAGTTGCCATGGAGCTGACTCTGACTGGTGGTGACCCCATGTGTGTCAGAGTAGAGCTGTGCTGTTTAGGGTTTTCAGAAGCTGATTTTTTTAAAGTAGCTTGCCAGACTCTCCAGGGTACCTCTGGGTAGGCTGGCAGATCCAGCCTTTCAGTTAGCAACCAAGCACATTAACCTTTTGCACCACCCAGGGACTCATGCTCCCATATTTTAGTCCAATATGAAAACTTAAATGTTTTATCTCCCAAATCAATGTAGATGATATTTAAAGTGCTTTAAATCTTTTCCCATTTAACAGATCCTTTGTAATCTATTAGCAGTTGATGGTATTAATGAACCTGATGTCCTAGCAATTAATGGTGGTAAGTATAAAATTAGAGAATAAAATTAGCATTGTTGATTTAAAAAACAACAGAGAGTTTTATTTCATCTTTTATTTTTCTCTCTTTTTTTCAGCTTCTGTAGCCCTCTCATTATCAGATATTCCTTGGAATGGACCCATTGGTAAGTTATATTTGAAAATAAGAAACATTATTTGTGTTTTTCTCAGTGCGCAGTCAGCATGTTATAGGAGTGGCATTGGCTCTGATTTATTATCTCTTAGGGGGTTGAACAAGATGTCATTCTAAGACTCTTTAGCTTTTTCAGACATTTTTATGTTTGCCTTGGGTTCTGTTTCTGGTAACAGTATTTACAGTGTTACAGATTTTTTATCCTGAGATACTTTGACTTCTTAGGAACATCTTTCTATTCAGAGGGCTACTTTTCTTTATTGACTGGGGAATTGTGAGTGCATACTCTTCCAGGATAAGACGAGCATATGTTTGTAACTTATAGCTCATTTATCACGCAATATAAAAATGACTCATCTAGTAAACCATTATTGAGTGCCCTAAATGCTAAATACTGAGCTAAGTAAACACTGAAGGAACAAAAGCAAACTGGATACTGGAAATACAAAGAAAAATGAAATAGTTTGTGCTTTAAGAGTGAGTAACGGAGATAGTGCCCACCTCCATTATAGAAAGTTTTTATCAAGGACTCAGTAGATGGGTCCTGATCAATAGGGGGTAGTTATGTGGAACTAAATTTCAAATTTCTTACAGAATCCAGGCTAGAGGAACCCCAAATCTGTTGCCCTGAGAAAATTGTGAACTTTGAACCAAAACTATCCCCTTAAGTCATCTTTAAACTAAACAATTTAGCCAAATTCATAAAGTATGTTCATTTTGAGCACTGTGCCCTTCTAAAGAATTTATCTGTATCAGATCAAATTGACAATAATAACTCTAAAGCATAGATGAATAGTTTATGGAGCAATGAATCTAAGTCAATGGTAATGAAATAATATGGGGAGAGATAGTGAGAATGGTGACATAAAGAATGTAATTAATGTCATTGAACTGTACATGTAGAAATTGTTGAATGGGTGTATGATCAACTATGTTTCACCAAAAAAAAACAAAAAGTAAAGGAATCAGACAATTATTTATAAACAAATGCAACTATAAAGGTATAGACAAAGTGCTAAGAAAATGAAAGAAGGATGGGTTTACTTTTGAGAGGTCAGGTTGTCAAGGTTCTCAGTGCTCGTTGTTTAAGCTGAACCTTAGTGGCATCACATGGTAAGCATTTGCCTTGGAGGAAGCGCATTCCAGGCTACCATGAGAGCATAAGCATAATCACAGAGATGTGGAATAAATGGTGTATTTGACCGCTCAGAATAGTCCAATGAGGCCAGAAGGTGAGGTGGGATAAGATGTTCTGTGGTCCTAAAAAACCATTGTAGAAGGATGAATTTTCTTCTGTGGTCATAATCAAAGATTAGAGATTGAAGCCATCACTGGAGTAATGTCTTGAAAGCAAGGAGTTTAAATAATTGCCAATATTGTAATACATTTTAGGGGCAGTGCGAGTAGGAATAATTGATGGAGAGTGTGTTGTTAACCCTACACGGAAAGAAATGTCTTCCAGTGCTTTAAATTTAGTGGTTGCTGGAGCACCCAGAAGTCAGATTGGTAAGTTGTTTAAGAACTAGATGTATTCTGGATTCTACTTACAAGTTCTGCTTTTAAAAATGCATTTACACTCACTTGTGTGTGTGTGTGTGTTTAGTCAGTAGCTATAAATTATTTTGTTTTGTTTTATATCTGCCCCATCTCATCAGTGTAGTTGCTTCATATCACATAATACATACATGACATTTAAGTAGGCAGGTATCTATTCAGCCTTCCAGAAACCAAGGCTGAATCTAAATAGCAGATTTTGATTGGATACCATGAAAGAAGCCCCACTACAGAGCTTCCCTGCTTTACACGGGAGTTTTATTTTTATAAAAGCATAAACAAACATTTTTGTGATGGTTCTTCTAGTTGGCTTACTTGAAAAAGGATCACTGCAAAGATTTCTCCACCTGTGCTAGAATTAGAGTGATCACAAGTCAGAATTAAGTTGTTGTTGTTAAGTGCCGTCGAGTCGGCCCCAACTCATAGCGACCCCTCCTTGGGTTTCCGAGGCAGTATCACTACGGAAGTAGGATTGCCCAACCTTCCTGAGGTCAAATAAAATAATTTTAAAAAAAAAAAGAAACGTTTTTTGGACACCTACTGTGTGGGAGCTCTGGTGGCGTAGTGCCTAAGGCATTTGACTGCTAACCAGAAGGCTGGCAGTTCAAACCCACCAGCCACTCCTTGGAAGGAAGACCGGGCAATCTACTTCATAGAGATACCGCTTAGGAAACCCAAGGAGGGGTTCCTAACTTGATGGCAGTGAGTTTGGTGGGTTTTTTGTTTGTTTGTTCGTTTTTTGTGACTGTGTGGGACATTTCTAAATTTCATTTTAAATGCATATTAAAAACTGATTGTATACCTTTATAGAGTGAGTTTTATGATATGTGAATTATCTCAATTAAGGTGTTGTAAAAACATAATTTTATGCATAGTTTTGGTGTTTTCTTTCATTTTTTTATGGGAGATGCCTCATTAAGTATGGGAGAATATAAACCTAAATTTAAATATCAAGATTTCTCTGTTTATTTACTGCTATTTGTGTTTTGGAAGTACATTGATTCTAAGGAAAGAAACCAAAATTAATCCACGGTATTTATGTCATGTCATGGTGTTTGAAAATGCTATGCTTGTAAAAGGTTCAGTGTTAATCATCTTCATTTTACTTTTTTTTCCCCCCCTTAAATAGTTATGTTGGAAGCCTCTGCAGAGAACATTTTACAGCAGGACTTTTGCCATGCTATCAAAGTTGGAGTGAAGTATACCCAGCAAATAATTCAGGGCATACAGCAGTTGGTAAAAGAAATAGGTGTTACCAAGAGGACACCTCAGAAGTTATTCATTCCTTCACCAGAGATTGTGAAATACACTCATAAGTAAGAACATCTGCTTGCACAGTAGAATATATGAAATTATCACTAGATTTAATTTTACCTCTCAGGAAAAAACTTCCTATGGAATCCATGCATTACTTTGTAAATAGCACTTTTTTATTTTAAGAATCATTGCCATAAACACCAGCTCTAATTCTTAAATAAAGATGAACCCATTTCACTCTTCCAGCCCTCTTGCTCTAAGTTTGAATCTCAGATGAAAGGAAGGGTAAATTTGTTACTTAAGATTCAGATAACACCGATACATCTCCTGTCAGGGAAAAGAGAATACAGCATAAGATACTGAATATCTGAGGCAGCTTTGAACTTCTCAAGAGAAATCACGTGTAACCACCAACCACCACATGCCCGATACTTAGAACCATGCCTGATAACATAGGCACTTAATAAATACAAATGAATCCCCATAAAATTATTTCATATTATTTGAAATAAATTAAAGAGTTATTTTTTTGTTACTATCAGTCTCTTGGCCATCAGTCAAAATTAAAAATTTAAATTGTCCCCTAAAGACTTAAGTTGTCCGTAGTAATCAAGACTTTCCTGCAGTAACAACAAAATGGATAGAACAGAACAGAGGTTAACAGGTGTGTGCGTGTGTGTGTGAGAGAGAGAAATCTCAAGTGGAAATTATTGAACATTTGAGAGCAGGAAGAGGAAAGGGCATGGTACAATGTGTGATTCTTTTCAGAGATAGAAAGATGTTCTAAAAGCAGGTTCAGAGATGAACTTCACTTGGTTATATGTAAATTTGAATAAGAACATGTTTGTGATAGTATATTAAGTCTCCCAAATTTGTGCCTCAGTATGGTCATGCGGAAAAATACAAGGTGCAGGGAAAAAAAAAAACAAGCCCTTATTGGACTGGAAGGGTAGAGTGATGGACTGTATCCTGTAAAATCTACAAAAGCCAGAACTTGTATTAGGCCAAAACCTTTCATGGAAGGAAAACTCAAATATTTTCCACTAAAATGAACAGCGGAAAAGTGTGAAAAGCAGAAAGTACGAGACCTGGAAAAACAAAGCGGCTTCATCGAGTTCTGGGTCTCATAGGTCTCACTGTATATCACATGTAAAATCCTTCCTGGTGAATGAAATGAGCAATGTGAAACAGATCTAGTTATTTTTAGTATAACTGGTATATCATTTTTTCAAAATGGAAAATGACTAGTTTTCCATTTGAAAAATAATCTATACTTCTTAAAATGTGCAAACAACACAGTAAATATATTTTCCAAGCTTTTAATCTTATTTTTGGTGAATTAGTTGTGAAGTTTCAAAAATATATTTGTTTTGTCTCTGCTTTACAAATGTTCTAAGGAGCTCTGGTGGTGCAGTGCCTAAGGCATTTGACTGTTAACCAGTAGAAACCTGGCAGTTCAAACCCACCAGCCACTTTGTGGAAGGAAGACTGGGCAATCTACTTCCATAAAGATTTATGGCCTCAGAAACCCAATTGGGGTCGCTGAGTCAGAATCAACTTGATGGCAGTGGGTTATTTTTTTTTGTTTTAAATAAATGTTTTATTTTCTGTAATCAAATGTGTCAGTATTTTTTTCCCTGCCTGGCTTTGAAGACATGTTTGGCCTTATCTATCCAGGATTATTAAAATATCCATTTATATTTTTTCTAGTACTTCTATAGCTTCATTTTACACATTTATAAGTTTTGTTTCTTTTTTAGGAAAGAATTGGGTTTAAGTTTTTTGTTGTTTTTGTTTTTCCCCCTAAGTGACTAATCTGTTGCCCCTAGCATTAGTTATTAAGTAGTTTATCTCCATTTGATTAAAATGCAAAAAAATGGTATAGTTATATGGCTGTTGCTTTTAAGAAATTTGTTTACTCTTGCAAATATTTGAATTCACTATTGTGATTATTAAAGTTTGTGTTTTGAATCATAAAATAGATAACAAACAGATGAGTAAATAAAGTATGTTTTAATTCTTCCTGGAATGTGTACTATTGAACATTTTAGTTTATTCATTTTAAATATTTCAGTTTTGTTTGTAATAGAAACTGCTTCGTGTTTCCAAATATTGTTATGCTAACATTTATTTTGTGTTTAAAAAATAGACTTGCCATGGAAAGACTCTATGCAGTTTTTACAGATTATGAACATGATAAAGTAGGTATAATTGAATTCTGTCTTACCTAATAGTTCTGGGAATTTTATTTTGTCATTTTTCACATAATTTTCTTTGTGGACCTATGGAATATCTCTAAAAAGAAAGATTCTTTTCAAAACCCTAGTTGTTTCTTCATTCTATGTTAATACAAGTTTTAGGGAAATATGCAAATATATTTTAATAAATTGTACAAGTAAAATTGCTTCTAAATCAATTACTTGTTCTAATCTTTAAAAGAATACTATTATGAGAGAAATCTGAATAATCTTATACTGTGTGAATTGTATTATAATTAAAAAATAGAAATGTTCAATATTGCCATATACGTAACAACTGAATATGAGTTTTCTTTTAGATTTCAAGAGATGAAGCTATTAACAAGATAAGATTAGATACTGAGGAACAACTAAAAGGTGAATTTTATTTTTCTAATTTAAAAATGTATTTAAGGGAAATAACAAGTTTTAAAATTTCAGGTTTGTGAGACCTTGACAAATCATTTTCTTATCGCTCCTCAGTTTTGTTTTCAGTAAATGTGCAGAAATCATACATCACAGAGTTACTGTTAATTTAAAAGCACATGCTTAACACTGCACCTGACGTATAGTAGGCACCTAGTAAATGTTAGTTGAATGTGAAATATGTTTGATCTTTTCTGGATCACACCTTGTAAGGTGGGTATAGTCTACATCCTGTCATTTGAAAACCCAAAAGATAATCTAAGTTTCTTGAGTTCTTGATTTGTAAAATTACAGATTTATTGGGAATTAAATGAGTAAATCATTTATATCCATACCTGGCATATAGTAAACATTCAGTAAATACTAACTGGTGGTACTATTATTATTAATATCATGTGGAATTATAAAGTTTTGATTTTTAGAGAATTTAGCTTTCTCTAAAAAATCGTCAGTAATGTTTCATTGGCTAAATTTCAAAAGTAGTAAGCCTTTCTTCTTAATCTGTGTTCATCTGGAAACTCTGCTAAAACTTGTCCTTCATGGGTGACCCTGCTGATATATGAAACACTGGTGGTATAGCTTCCAGCATCATAACAACATGCAAGCAAACGTTATAACAAATTGATAAATGGGGTGAAATGCCAGAACACTTATTTAATTGTGCCTATGAGCTCTGGTAGGAGCTCTCATAGCGTAGTGCCTAAAGGCGCTTGACTGCTAACCAGAAGGCTGATGGTTCAAACCCACCAGCCACTCCTCAGAAGAAAGGTTGGGCAATCTATTCCATAGAGATACTGCCTCGGCAACCCAAGGAGGGGTTGCTATGAGTCAGGTCCGACTCGACGGCGCATACAACAACAACAACAGTAATGAGCTCTGGTAGCATACTGCCTAAGGCACTTGACTGCTAACCAGAAGGCTGCCAGTTCAAACCCACCAGCCACTCCTTGGAGGGAAGGTTGGGCAGTCTATTTCTGTAGTGATACTGCCTCAGAAACCCAAGGAGGGGTCACTATGAGTCGGGTCCAACTCAACAGCACATAACAACAACAACAACATGCGCAACCTGTACATGGAACAAGAGACAGTCATTCAGACAGAACAAGGGGATACTGCATAGTTCCTAATTGGAAAAGGTGTGTGGACAAGATTATACCCTTTCATCTTACTCAATCTGTATGCTAAATAATAATCCAAGAAGCTGGACTTTATGAAGAAGAATGCAGCATTAAGTTTGGAGGAAGACTATTCAACAACCTGTGATATGCTGCAGATGACATAACCTTGCTTGCTGAAAGTGAAGATGACTGGAAGTACTTACTGATAAAGATCAGAGACTGAAGCGTTCAGTATGGATTTCAACTTAAAAAAAAAAAAAGAAAATTTTCACAACTGGACTGACAAAGAGCTTCATGATAAATGGTGAAGAAATTTACATTGTCAGTGATTTCATTCTATATGAATCAACATTCAACATCCGTGGAAGCAGCAGTCAAGAATCAATGTATTGCATTGGGCAAATCTGCTACAAAAGACCTCTATAAAGTTTTAAAAAGCAAAGATGTCACTTTGATGACTAAGATATACCTGATCCAAGCCTTGGTCTTTTAGGTCACCTCATATACCTGTGGAAGCTCTGGTGACGTAGTGCCTTAGGCATTTGACTGCTAACCAGAAGGCTGGCGGTTCAAACTCACCAGCTACTCCTTGGAAGGAAGACTAAGCAATCTACTTCCATAGAAATACTGCCTCAGAAACCCAAGGAGGGGTCACTGTGAGTCGGAACTGACTCGAGGACAGTGAGTTTGGTTTTGGTTTTTCATATACTTGTGAAAGCTAGACAATGTAAATGAAAGACAGAAGAGTTGAACTGTGTGGTATTGGCAAAGATTGTTGAATATACCATGCACTGCTAAAAGAACAAACAAATCACTCTTAGAAGAAATATAACCAGAATGTTCCTTAGAAGTGAGGATGACATGACTTTGTCTTGCTTCTTTGGACACATCATTAGTAAAGACCATTGCTGGAAATGGGCAACCTGTTTAGTAAAGCAAAGAGTCATCAAAAACAAGAGAAACCTTCATTGAGATAGATTGACACAGTAGCCACAATGGGTTCAGACATACCAGCAATCATGAAGATGGCACTGGATCAGGCATTGCTTCATTCTGGTATACATAAGGCCACCATGAGCCAGAGTCAGACAGCAGCTAACAGCAGCAACTAGAAATTATTAAGCAAATGGTGTTATTTATAATATCAGTCTCACAAAAACTGAATATATCCAGGGCTAACAATTTTTTTTAACAGATAGACAAATATCTCCTTACATTAGTATTTTTCTTATTTTAAAATTAAAAACTCTGCTGTTAGCATGCTTTTTCTTTGCGATTGTTATTGAGGCCTTGAAAAAGTTAGAGTGTTTTCTCACTGCATCCTATTTATTAGGAGTGAGGAATTGTATAACAATACTGCCTTATTTAAAAGAAAAGTGATGTTATATTTGTATTTACATAGTAGAATATATTCATGGCTCTCTGGGTTAATAGAATAATATTTTAAGTGTTCTGATACTAATTATTTTACTTTCCAAATGCAACCTAATTGGAGCATAAAAGTTTGAAATGTAGTACTCAAGATTATTCTTGGCCTGTTGAAGATAAAGGTGCCTGGGTGGTACAAATGGTTTGCACTCAGCTACCTGAAGGATTGGCAGTTCATACCTACTCCGCAACACTTAGCGATCTGCTTCTAAAAATATCACAGCCAAGAAAACCCAATGGAACTCAGTTCTACTCTGTAACACATGAGGTCACCATGAGTCAGAATCAACTCCATGGCAGCAGATTTGGTTTTGGGTTTTGTTGGATGAGAATAAAGTTTTGTGGTGCAGTGAAGTACTTAAAATGGTCTTTGTGACTGAGTAAGACAATGCAAATGTGAGGTGCTTATGGCCTACCATGGAGATTAAATAGCTTGCTAATAATGTAAATTAGATACATGGCACCTTTGTGAGGGTGGGACCATGGAAATAAGGTATATGGAATCCTA